GAGGGAGGACAAGGACTGGGGGGCTTGGAGGCTAAACCCCAAGCCCTGCCACCCTGGCCGTTGCTGCCTAGGCAGTTATCTGGCATCGAGTGCCCCGGGCAGGTGCTTGCTGCGCCACAGGGATGCTGGCACAGCCCTCCACACCACTGGGACATTCACTCATGGCAAAGCAGCTGCCAGAAACCGCCCAGGGTCAAACTCTCCTGGGGCTCCAGAGGGAAAGTTGCTGAAAGTGGGTTTTTCTGAAAACCTGCCCAAAACAGGGGTTTGTGAGTGTGAGGAGCTGGTTCAAAGTGGGGGAAAGCAGCTGGTGCCCAAGTAAACACAGAAACCAAAACCTTGCAGTGCCTGAGCGGCTGCTCCCCGGGAGGGGTGACAGTGCAGAGCATCGCCATGGCCCCTGCCAGGTGGGACCTGGTTTATATTTGAGACTGTGGCTGGAGCACCCTGCCAGCCTTTGCCGTCCTGCTGCTCTCTTCCTCTCCACAGTGCCATGCCCCACCCAGGGCAGGTTTGGCAGCGTCCGGGAACCAGCTCTGCCCGTCTGCTCTCACTGCTTCGCTTTGCAGATGCTTGGGGGAAAAAAAACTGGCCACCCAGCACTGGCACGCCTGGCAGTGTAAGCCACCTAGTGCAGCCCTGTGATGGGCCAGGGTAGGCACAGCCACACACGGTCCCTCCAGCAGGCATCGTTCTGAACAGCACCGCCAGCCCCGTGGACGCAGGGATACCCAGGGGTGCCCAGACCTGAGCTGAGTTGAGCTGAGCTGAGCAGCGGCAGCAGCAAGCACAGCCAAAACCGACAGCTTTTCTGAAAGACCACTCTTGTGACAAGGCTTGTCACCTCTGTGCACACACAATGAATGGAGCAGGTCCTGGGGCACCTCACACCATCCCCTTTTCTTTTGCACCCTGCTGCTCTCTGCCCGTACCCCGTGCCAAGGGTTTCCCAGCAGCAATGGGCACGCCGTGGGGCCAGGGAGAGCCTGGTTCTGCCCCTAGCACCCTCCAGGACACAGGGCTCGGGTGCTGCAGAGGTGCCAGGACTTTGCGCTGCTCCCAGGTCCTGCTTTCCCCTCTGCTCTGCATGCACCTGGCATGGGACAGAAACCCTCAGCCCCTGCCAGGTTGAGGGGACCAGGCACAGGAACCAGGGAGGACACCCAGCAGAGGAACCCAGCAGGCAAAGGCTGCTCCGGAGCCGCTGGAGGCAGAGGGGCAGCTCAGAAACAGAAATAAGGTGGGCGTTGGGTAGGAGGCGACTCGGGCAAACGCCCTGCTGGGAAGCATTCCCATCCAGCTCAGTCGCAGCATCCTAACTGCATGACGGGATAAGGCCAGGCAGCACCGCCTTGTGTGGCACGGTCCAGGAGCCCTTGCAGGTAGATCCCCGGGTTCATGGGGAGGCAGCCCAGGCCCAGGGAGGCTGCGGGTCTTTGGGGAGGCCAGGGCATCACAATGAGGTGGGGGCACCCTCAGGAGGAGCCCCCTTTGTCTCCCCAGCTCTGGGCACAGCGCTGCACTGTGTACCAGCTCCGTGCAGGCACTGCCATCTGCAGGCAGCAGCTCTGGGGCCAGCTCTGGGCCTCTGCCAAGCACCAAGTGCACAGCACCGTGACTCCATAGCGAGCAGCAACCCAGCCACTACAGTCACCCACACCCAGCAGGGCTGCACCCTGCACCCACTGCTCGCTGCTGCACACCAGGGCAGGGAGCCACGTCCCTGAGCCCACAAGTGCTCACCCAGCCCAGCCTTGAGCAAGCTGTCGGTTAATGCATGGAGAAACCAGCAACAGCTTCTCCTCCCCTCTGCCCCGAGCAGCAGGACTGGAGCAACTAACCTCACACCTGGCCACTGAGGAGCTGCGGACAGCCCCCAGCTAAACAACCCCCAGCCTACACCTCCCTCGCACAGAGCATCAGCGGCGCCTCTGCCCTGTGCGAGGGAGGAAAAGGGGCTCTGTATTTTGAATGCAGCAAGGGAGTTGCTCACGAAGCGCTCCCTGGAGCTCCATGCTGGCCTGCGGGAGAGGACTCTTCCTTGCCTGCCTCTAGGGAAGCAGCACTTGCAACTCTGTGCCCTGTTAATACTGACGCACACCATGGGGGACACATGCCCTGCTCCCAGTTTGTTCTGCTTCACACGTGCCCCATGCAGACAGCATCACCACAAAACTGTCCCCGTAAAAATCTGCCCACACACCTACGAGGCTCTGCCCATGCCAAGGAGGCTGCCTGCCTGCATCCAACAGGCAGAGACACATGCCAGCAAGGAAAGAGACCCCTGCCATAACCAAAGTATAGCCTCTCTGCCAGAAAATGGCAGAGATCATGTTTTTCAACCAGTTCTGCCTCCAAAAAGGAGCCCTTATCCCAGGTGGCTTCAGCTATGGGGCCTTGACCCTCGTGCCCCTGGAAGGAAAGAAAGCATACTCCGACATCACAGAAACAAGACACGGGCAACTCCACGCTGCAGAGAGGATTTTTCAGAAGCGTTTATTTCACTGCTGACACTGGGGCTGCAGGAGGCAACTGCTCACCGAGCTGCCCTTCGCTGCAGAAGCGTCACTCCCCTCAATCATGACAATCCACGTAAGATCAGTGTCTGCTCACCTTTCAGCACCTACATTACACAGACCTACATCACTGGGACGTTCACCTGTTAGGGACACCACTTAAAAGGATTAAAAATAATAATAATAAAGCAATCTACAAAGTAACACTTGGAGGCATGATGCAGAAGCCAGATGATTTTAGACTACACAGCAGATGAGATTTGCTAGGTTTATTGGTGCACAAGTGCCAACTGCTTCCCTGCCAGTCCAACACGGTGCCAAGCTGGGGAGCATTCCCAGACAGGACAACAGCTCCCCGTTTCCTACCCAGTGGCAGGAAACACTTCCAGGTCACAGTTTATACTTCCAGAACTACGCAAGATTATGTGCTTGTAAAAGGTGCTGGGGAGTGCTGAAACTTCCATCTGTGACACCGCCTGCTTCCTACCAAGCGGCAGACACTTGATGGCAGAAGAGTGCCTGAGCTGTGGGTTTTCTCTCTTTTTTTAAATAAAAAGAAAAGCTGACTGGTAAAATGTTATTCTTAGCACAGGTGGACCGATAAAAAAAAATCACATTACACTGGAAATACATAGATTGGCCCATGAGAAAGAAGCTACATACTATTGCCCCATAACGAGTTTTTCTTCACCTACAGTTTCAACTTCCCAAGTGAGGTAGGGAGAGGGTGACCACAGGAAAAAAAGATGGTGTTTCCAAAGGATTCCACTGTTTTAAAGTTATCCTTTTGAATCCTTCATGTAAAGTTAAAGTGTTCTTTAAGGAAACACTGCCTTTTCTTCACAACAACATTCAGAGTTTTGGTTTTTTTTTTAGAGGGAGAAAGAAAACAAGCATCCCAGAGATGAAATGCTGGCAGTTTTGACACATTTTGGAAGGAAAGCACAGTTATAAAAAGGAAGGAAATAGTGTAGTGAATCTGCAGATAGAAGGGAAAAATACAGAGTGCTGACATACGTTTGCACTGTGCCCGCTCCAACAGCACTTGAACTACACACCCTGTTCACATGGAAACACACTGTCATACATAGCCATCAGGAGAGGGAAAGTGGACACTTACAAACCTGCAGTTTAATTTTGTAGGAATCAGCAATATAGAAGCCTTTCATTGCCCCTCCTAGTACTAGACAGAACGTATTTTAAGGCATAATTTAACATACATTTCTTCCTAAAGCAATTTAAAGTGTAACAAGCCAAGATGTCAGACACAGAAAACTCAACAACAGCTATTCTGACAGAGGTGAAAGCTATTATATGTACAGTGCAGTATTTGCCTTCAAAAGGGGGAGTCTTGTCTTTAAAAAAAAAAAGAAAAATAACTGCAGACCCGGATTCTAAAAAAGCAAACATTGCCAACACAAGGAATGTTCATTAGAGTCCAGTTCCCACTAGAGCTACTCAACAGGAGGACATACAATGTGATTATGCTAAACCGCACTGATTGACTTCCCAGAGCGCGCCCCCAGGAGGGGGGCAGAACCATGGGAAGCCAAACTCTGCAGTACCCTAGTGCAAACTGCCTCAGAGGAAAAGCCTGTAGTCAACAAGCCTTTGCACCTATTGTTAGGCTTCACTAAGAGATGTAGTAGTCAGGTGTCACCTAACAATTTCAGGACACTCCTGTAAAGGTGAGGGTCCTGTGTGGATTCTAATGCACATCCCCCGTGAACAGTGTCCTGCACACATAGACCTGCCAGGCTACCGGCTTTCCCTCTTCCGTGACTGCAACCTGCTCACAGCCACCAGAATCTCACATAGACGATCAACATGATAAAAAACACAGCTACAGCCGCAAGTTTGGCGTAAGTGGAACGCATGTTCAGGTACTTCGCATCCTGACGGTACTTCTTGGACAAACTGGACAAGTTGTTGGCCTTGGAATCAAGAGCTGTTAAAGGGAAAGGGGAGAGAAGTTAAATCAAGATGAACCCAACCGGATGTTCCCCAAATGTTACATTAACTGTACAAGTTTCTCTGGAGCAGCTGGAAGCGCAGCAGTTTTACATGGCAGCACGCCCTACGCCTATCTGCAGTGCTCTACTGCTTGTCCTGCTGGGATGAGAGCCACTCAAGCTGGGGAGACGCTGGTCTCGCCCAAAAGAAGCGCCAGTACACCTGCCAGGTGCTTCAGGATGCAACCGATCCAACTGAAACACCCACTGAGTCCACTGTTTTTCTCGGGAGGCTCAGGGATTAGCAAGCCTTTCCCTCCGGTATGCTCTACCCACCCAGCTGACTGAGGGGACAAGGAACCATATGCCAAATATCAGCCGTTCCCTGTACCTGAAAGCGCCTCTCCTCGCTGTAAGACTTCCTCAATGTTGGCCACCATAATCCTCTGCACATCTTGCAGCTCTGTGTTGATGGAGCCCAGGTTCCTCCTCGCCCGGCTATCAATGTAGAGCTTCTTGGTTTTCTGGATGTAGGTATCTGGAACAAGAGGCGGCCGTCAGAGGGAATCTTACCTAACACAGAGCAGCCCAGCTGCCGAAGGAGTGGGAGCGTTGCTGAGACAGCCAGCAGACTGCATGCAAATATTCACTGAATCGAGGCCAAGAGGCTTAAAGCAGGAAATCTGAATCAAAGGACATTTACCATTTCCCTACCACTTCTCTACTCTCTTGCTCAAAACAGCCATTTCTCTAGTGCCAAGAAGAGGCTGAACTATCAATTCCATAGGCCAAGATGGAGAGGATCCTGGGGCTGCTGCTTGCCCCCCAGCAAGAAGTTTCCTAACGAGCCACAGGGAGGGGGACCTCACCAAATTCAATGAAGGAATAGGGCCTGGAGACCGTCGGCACCTTCTTGCCATGCTGCTCATCAAACTCTGAATGCAAGTCTTCCAGATACGCGAAGGCCAGTTTCTTGGGGAATGCAGCTTCACACAGGACCAGGTAACACACTCCTTTCTCAATGATGTAGCTAGAAGAACAGCAGATGGAGCATTAATCAACCAATTTTGAACCTACCCTATGAAACACCACCCTGCATACCTTTATTCCTATGAGGCAATGAGAACTGGGTACAGGCACTTCCCATTTGCCATGTTTGGACCAGGTGTAAACCTTTCTACAAAGTAACGGCTTATTTTTTCTTTACCTAAAATAACTTTTCTTGTAGCCTCAGACGCTATACCCGTGCCAATGGGCCGGAACTTTGACTTCGCTGGAACAAAAGTTAGCCTGTGAGTATCGTTAGCTTAACAAAATAACAGCAACAAAGGAGTTACAATTTTGGAGTAAAAAAGGGAGGACACCCTCCCTCCCTCTTGCAGTCAGAAGGAAGGGAGCACAAGAAAGTTTGCCAGAAGAGTAGAGGGGAAGATGGCCAACACAGCTGTAAGGCAAGGCAGCACAGCCAAGTACCTGAGGCCCACAAACAGGAAGCTCTGCCCTGAGATTAGGACATGCACAAGAATTTGGTCTCGGCGTGCTAAAAAGCCACCCAGTGACTGCCAGCTCACGCTTTCTGTTTTGGAGGGCTGGGTATCCCCTTCCCCCCCCCAACACCAGCCTGTTGGTGGGGTGTCGCTATCCACATGCGTGACCTTAAAGGCAGCTGGGGAAAAATATTGGTGCTAGATGGGTTTTGGTGACTTCCCCTACAGGTTTGCCATGGGTAAGTATGACTTTGCTACCAGCTCTTCAGCTGCGCTGTTAGGAGCTCCAAAACATCTGTTGGAACAGGAGCTGGTCTTGCTGTGCAATGCTGTCTGGTTTGTTCCGCAGCTGAACGCGCAGAGAGGTCCTCTCCTCCTCCTCCCACCACCCCATCGCCATTGCACCGAATTTGTATTTGCTCGCAGAGGTTTAGTGCTGACCTTGTTTCAGTGTGAGCTCCAGTGCCTCTGTCAGCACTGAGAACAGGGGCCTTTCATTATAATTCGGCTAAAAAGCCTACTGAAATAAGGGATGAGAGAGAACCAATCTTGAGATTATTTGGATTATTTAGGCTTTGCTACAACCATCTGCTGCTGCACATTCCCAACTACATTTTCCTCCTCATTTAGCCAATGGAAAAATAAAGGCAACAATATTTCCACCAAGACCAAGGGAGTGGAGACGGTAGATAGCCCTGCATACACTTTGGAATATTTATCTGTATTATTCAGGGTGGAATTTAAATGCTACTTTTATGTTACCTTCCTTTGACTTTCTGCATAATGCCATTATGTAGCAGTCTAGTTAGCATAAAGATTAACAGTGTTATTAAAGAATTGACCCAGTCACGAGGGCACTGTAGTTAAATAAGTAGCTTAAAATTTTGTTAATAGCCGCATCAGGCTTACAAAACAACTCCCCCTTCACACTGTTTTTCCAGGTACCCCAACAGGTCCAAGTCCTTTGAATTAACCATCCTCAACTTGTTTCTGGGCTCGGGAGTATCCATTTCTCCTGCCTCTATATGGCCTGTGTGCGAATCCCACCAGCCTTCAAATAACAACCGATCCACCCCAACCAGAAGCAAGAAACCCCAGTTACTATAATCCATTCCACAAGCGTGTCCCCACGAGCCCATGCTTTTATTCCTTTTTATGTCCCTCAGCTTGGACTGCATCAGTGTGTAAGACTAATCCTACAGTACATCACGCCTCTGTTCTTCCCTTACCCTTGGAGGACCTGCTTGACAGCTTGGAGTTCCTATAAATCATCACCCGGAGCTTGATTTAGCTGCTGTCACGAACAGCCATATTTGAAAAAGTCTTTTGAAATTCGCAAAACTGGCGTCAGATAGGAAGTCTGACAGTACTCCCCGAGAGCCAGGACAGCAAACTCGAGATGAGAGCAGTCTGAGGAACACTCCCCATCGGTACAGCTCTGTTACCTCTGCTCAGGCCAGCTGGTCCTGCCTGGAGCTCTTCAGCTGTATTTCCCACTTGCTTTTCCCCTGATGCGATACTAGATGTGTTGGATTTAAAGTTGATCTGTCAGCACCACAGAGAGCAAGCGCACCTCGTTCTGTCCCGGATTCAGACAATTTTGTCAGCCTCAGTTCAACATCAGAGCAGGGCTCCTACACAGCTGGGCTTCTCATGTTTACACTTTGAGCATGCCTCCGAGCTTTAGCACAGCGCCTGATCATGCCGACTGCTTGGCAGGGTATGCACACAAGGGGCAGACGTTGCCGTTTGCCACTGCTAACTTCTGTACTCCGGATATCTTCACACCGAGTATAGCCAGCAGGTTTCTTATAATTATCTCGGATCATTGTAAGAGAGAAAAGCTTTATCCTGGTAACAGTGGCAAAGGCCAAGGGTTATTTTCAACAGGACAGGTGAGAGCCAGTTCAGCCACTCATCAGCCAAAGGTCAACTACTGGCAGACAGCACAGCAGACTCCATCGGTGTTTCTGTACCTGCACAGCCGTGCACACCGAGTGCTGTAGCTGAAAGGGTGACACAGCTTTTGGCGCCGAAGTCTAAACGCTACATTTGACAGAAATCACTTCAGCAGTCGTAGTTTAAGCTTCGCATTTCAGCAAGACCAGACTTCTCTGAATTGATCAAGCTAAAAAGATTCAATACCACCTCAGCAAGTTCAGTAATATCCTTAGCCGCACTTCTAACTTTTGCGCCACAAAATGCTCTGCCCTGGTTTGTGCTGCCCTCAGCAGAGCTCTGATTCGGCAGAAAAAACGGTGTGCTGCGTTAACAAACAGCATGGTCAGCAGTCAGCATTATTTTAGACTAAATCTCAAACTTCTCATTTCCTCCCCTTCCTGTACTGTTATCACAGGAGGTTTTCTGATCTGAAAGTATTCTTTTCATATAGGTCCTGCCTTAACATCCCACCTTAAAGGAGGCAGCAGCTGAGCGCTTTGCAGCAGCAGCAGCTGTCAATTAACTGCCTGTGGAACCTGCCTAGGGACTAACCCAATACAGGAGGAGAAACACTCCTTTCACTACCTATCTGCCAGACAGGTAATCTGGCTGTTTCTTTGAGACAGCTGTCAAAACATGAGCTTGCCCAAGTCCTCCCACCTTGTCAGAACTGGTGACATTACAGCCACCGTCAAGAGGCTTTGATTTCCTGGACACTGCAAGTGGCACAGCCTTCCCAGAAATCGCTCTGCTTGCGTCACGGAAGCAACACAAGAAGGGATTTACTAGGATCTGTGCAGACTCTTTCTCAAGGCTTCACTGCCAGTCAGAGCTGCACCCATGCAGTGCCATGGAAACATTTAAAAGGAGAGTTTTTAAGTTCTAGGAAGTTTTAACTTCTAGAAAGAGGACAATGCAGAGCAGCACTTTGCAGTTAACTCTGGCAACAAGACCCAAACCCAAGAGGAGACAGGGATGGCCAGACTATGTTAATCAGGGCCATCCTCTGACCACTATAAACCCCCCACCAAAGGCAATTAGAAGCCAAGAGAGAAAAGATAAAAAAAAAATCTTGTTGCAGTTATCATATGTAAGCCAACCAGCTGCCCTCAAAACCTCTTGTGCCAAAGATTGCCCTTCCAAAAAACTCCTGTTCCTGTCTTTCCATGTCGCTGAATCTCTGAAGAAAGGGACAGGGCAGGAGATTTAAAGGACCCTTGTTATAGAAGCAGACCTAAAGCCAGCTTGCCCTGAATTTAAAGGCCATCCTCCCACTCACCCAGCCGTAAACACACACCAGAAGTGCCTTCGCTTATTTCCATGGCGGCAGAAGCCTGTTCCCCCATCACACCTACAGATACTTACTGGAAAGCCATGGCTCCTGCTTCAAGAGTACATCTCGTGGGGGACTGCTCGTTCAGCTTGCGGAAGAGCTGCTTCGCTTGACTCTGGTACTGCTGCAGATCGCGGCCTGACTGAGAAGGGAGAACAGGCTGTTTGGAGCGGCTGCTACCGGAGAAACACCACCCGCCCGTAGGCAGGCGGACTCCGGGGGGGCCTCGGGCTCAGCCCGAGGAGGAGGAGCTGCCCCCCGCAGCACAGAGGCGGCTCTCCACCTCTC